TGTAAAATGTGTTGAAACATGTAAAGCTTGAATTTATATCAAGTTGCTCTGGAAAAAAGAAACAAACATCTCTGTGCAAAATAAATTTGGATGAAGTTGTATTTTCTCGTAGCCTACACATTTCATTTGAGCATTATGCGAATGTTTACTAATTAAAGAAGAGGCGAATCATTGCAAGTTTGCATCTTTATGGCACTAGAGGGCAGTGTTCAACTATTTAGTGGTTACGAACAAGCTGTACAAACTTGCGTGAATTTCCTATTTGCCGTAAAACTGTACGGTCAGATTTCTTCACAGTGCATTTACAGATACAACATTAGATCGTTTATTATTATTAGTAAATGCTGAAGACCAGTAATGGTAATTGATAGCGCATGTCGACCAATATCACCATATTTTAGTTGTCATCGTGTCGATTACAAGTTCTGATATAGATTTTTATTTATGATAGACACATTTTTTAGTAAAACGTTGTGAATTCTTTCTGTGGTGTGTTTTTCCAAAGCATATTCTGCCTAAATTAACACCAGTTACCAAAAGTTTGAAGTTAGAAAGTTATTGGGTAGGCTACCTACAATCTAGATATCACATAATTGTCAGTTGGTTCCAAAGCTTTGACGGGAACATCGTTATTGTCTTATCATCGCCCAGCTCATGTCTTTGCTGAACAGCATAACTATAGCAGACAGTTAAATACTTTGCATAAAACTGTAATACCCTCATGTGACATGTAAATGTGTGGTTACACAGGTATAACCCTCTGAGAGCCAATGCAAATGCTCACTCAAAAGAAGTTGTTTCCCAGACAGCTCAAAGCAACTGTAAGGTCTGAGAGGTCATTGCCTAATTTATCTGCTTTAACCTCACAGTCATGCTTGCATATTAAAAGGCTGAGCCTCGGCCAAGGAGAGCAAGTGTAATGAATTTACAATCTCTTTCTGCAAGCTATACAAGTTCATCAGCAGTGTTGATGCCGCAGTGTGGCATGGTCACAGTTCATTCGACCTTGGAACACATGGTCCAGTTTGGCACTGGCATCTGTGATGGGTCAGGGCAAATGCATAAACCTGAGAAAACACAACTGGGATGAGATGACAGAACAGAACAGAATAGAATAGAATAGATTTTTACAAGGTAATCCATAGAATCTTTTTTAAATGCGTCTCAAATACAAGAAAATGTTGTTTTGATTTAGTTTTTAGACACACAGAGATCTAGAATTAGCTTGTGAATCTCTACAATGGTGACAATAATAGCGCATGTTGTAGTGCATTCTATAGGTGCCACCAATCAAAACTCATTCATGGCTCCCATCATGCAGTGGTGCATGAATAAAAAATGAGCTTATGATCAGAGGTGATCTGTTTGTCACCATTGCTGAGATTCATACGCTAATTCTTGAGGTCTGTGTGTGGCTCCATAAAATAATTTCTGAAGTTATCTTTTTATTGTTTTGATCAATTGGTTTCATTGAAAATGCTAAAAATACGATGCTGTCCAAGGCCAGTGATGCTATAATTAATACAATAAACCTTAGTCAGAAACTGGGCTCTATGTGAGTTCAGTAATTCAGGTCAAATGATATATTAATTCAGCCCATTCTCACTCCCAAGGCGTCACCTAACTGACGCCTTGGGAAGCATTTGGACATGCTTCAATATCTGACGCTTTAGGCGCCCTTTAGCGTCAGTTAGATGACGCCCTAGGATCGCGTGTACCCTACCCCCACCCCACACCTAAACCTAACCGCGTCCTCTAACAGACGCTTTCCTTTAGCGTCAGTTAGATGACGCCGTAGGATCGCGTCATGTAAGTGACGCTAAAGGGCGCCTAAAACGTCAAATATTGAAGCATGGTCAAAGGTGACGCCTTGGGGTGAGAATGCGTTGATTAATTATATTAAAACACAACCAACACCATCAGATCACCTTTTCTATTTGTTAATCTGGCTATTATAATTCACATATAACAACCAAACAACATCTAAAGTTAACAATTTAAGGGTCAAGAGCCTAAAACACACACTGATCTCTATAATGGTGATTTAAAAATCACGGTTTTCTTCTTCAGTGAATCTGCTTGTTAACATCAGGTGTCTTCAATGATGGCAATAAAAAAAGAGTTCTTAATTCATCTTTGCCGTCAGTCTGTTATTCCAATATTTTTGTTTAGAAAAATGTGTAAATTTTACTCATTTTAAATGGTTAACTTTTTTTTTTTGGCAGTTTTTTATTTAAATGGTTAACTTTTAATTAATTTGTTTGGTTAATTATTACTCTATTCTAATTTGTTAAATTTAATTAATAATATTGATTGTAATCTGTTGCCTCAATTTTATAGATTAGATTTTATGACATATTCAGTCGTTTTCATTTTTACAGTGTATTTAACATGATTAAATGATTGCATAAATGATTACATGGCATTAATAACCAACGCTAATAACTGATTACTGTATACCAAAAGATCATCAAGTACAAATAACTCTTTACAAAAGCAGCTGGCCATATCGACATTTTGCAATACTTAATTTTAGTATGTTGGTTGGACTAGCAAAATATACGCTGTTACCACTAAAAATAAAATAAAAAATATTTGCTTTATTATTGTCGTTTTTGTTGTTAACTTACTATTCGGAAATTCTAATAACTTACAACTTTAAGGAATTCAAGCAATGTACTGTGCGCAGATACTTTTACAAAAGAGAAGATGTTGTGTGTGTGGCCTATAAAGGGTTTTGTGATTCAGTCCCATTCACCTTCTTCCCAGCACTGGAGCATGAATAATTTAAAACGGCTGCTGTTTGACCATTTGCTGCTGTTATTTACACTGTTGTTGTTGATTTAGTTGCCATGTTGAGTTTGTTACCTTTGTTCGTTTGTTGACTGGCACTTTTGTGTTTCATGTTGCAAATCTTCATGTTTGATAGTGTCAGTTTCAAGCAGCCTATATTATTATTATTTTTTTGTAGTTGTTTATTTAGTTTGTTAAAGTTTTTTTCAGTCAACTTAAAATGAAAAGGCAAAAAAGAAAAACAATTTACAAACATACATGGAAACAAAAATTAAATAACAATGTAAAAAAGAAAAAGTTGTTTGAGCAAAAATGTGTCGGCGGAAGCTTACGCTTATAGGCTATATGCTTATGCTTATTGCGCCGAACCTTTTACGCCAGAGTCATCTTGCGTACATAAATAAAGACTGAAAGATTCATTCATATTCTTGTATAATGTAATATTTTTTTTCCAAATAATTTCTTAAAGCTACCTATGTATTTACATGTTTTCAGTTCATCATCAAGACTATTCCACAGTTTAAGCCCCTGAACAGACAGACATCTCCGTTTGACATTGGTTTACTGAACATGAGTGTTCCTCTGAGCTCATAAATAGTAGATTCCATCTGAAACAGATTTTGGACACAGGACACAGAAATGTATTATTTATTATTTTAAACATTCTTTTGGCTATTTTAAATTCTACTAAGTCATTAAATTTTAGTAGGTTGGAGTTTATAAATAGCTTCTTTGTTGGGTGATAATAATCTGTTTTATTTTTAATTCGTATTGCACGTTTTTGCAGAATAAGAGTTGATTTTATTGTTGTTTATGCATTTCCCCAGATCTCTACGCAATATGTAATGTATGGCACTAGTACAGTATATTTAAGGCCTTTGAATCAAGAATGTGTTTTATTTTAGACAGGATAGCCAGAGAATTTGAAATGTTTGACTTTATAGGTTATGTGGGATTTCCAACTGAGTTTGTGGTCAATAATGACACCTAAGAATTTAATTTCACTTACCATTTCTAATTCAAACATTTCAATTCTAATCTGGACATTTGTATTAATTTTCCATTACTAAATAAAATAATTGTAGTTTTATTTATATTTAATGACAATTTATTTATTTATTTTTTATTTCTGCTTATTTATAATCAGTGTTTATGTGACGTTGTTATTAATTTTACACTGTAAAGTTTGCTATATGAAGTAATAGTTAAAAAAAATTAGTTTATACATAGTTTATCGAACCTTTAGACAAAATATAAAAGAAAAGCTCATAGGATAAACACATACATATTATTCAGAGGCCCAAACTGAGCAAAATTGGGTGCAGATATTGTGTCTTATGTTGCTAAAAGGTAAGATGAATTTCTGCTTGTAATGTAAATCAATCAGATTTTTATAACACTATAATGAACAACTTACATAAATATTTGTCCATGTCTCACAATAATATGTCTTAAAAGTAGAGGTTTTCATTTTAGGGGTCAAAACATGACGAATGAGAGATGCACAAATAAAAGAGCCAAGATATTTACTGAAGTAAATTAATAAAAATTATGAAAAATAATAATAATCAGATATAATAATAATAATAAGACAATACTACTAATAATAATAACAATGCTTTTAATTAAAACTCTGGAACCAAACAACAATCTGACATATATATTGCTGTCATTAAACAAACTTTAAACTTTTATTACCTGTTGTCAAATAAAAACCCACCACAATTTAAAGTAATCACGAAATTTTACTTATGTGTTTATAAAAATTAAAGTACTTGTACTTCACTCTATATGGCAATATTTCGCATAAAAAACATAAAACACTAATACTGGATTTAAAACCATGTAACAGTTTGATAAGAAACTGTTACATGGTTACAAAAAACAATCTTTTACTTTATTATTTTAAATCTCAGTGACAATTTTGGCAGGTTAAGTCACGGTAGTTTAACATTTTAAGTTCAGCCAATATATTTACTTAAGTAAATCAATGAAAAAAATGCTTAAGTTGTACAACTAATATTTACATTGTCAGTGGAGGATATAAACTTAAAAAAAATGAAGTTGCGCGTGTTTGAAAGTGGCCGTTGCAAAGCAGCAGCTCATTGTCATGTCCCGCGCCTCGCCCTGCATCATTCATGTCCTCACCATTCACCGCTGATGATGCTGAGGCAGAGCGCGCGTCCCCACGCGCACGTGAACGCGCCTGAATGCATGCGAACAGGAAGCAGCGCGAGCCCGTGAATACTGACGCGCTGGGGAACGGATCGCTACGCTTCTACGGACCCCCTTTTTCATCCCTTTGAAGGGATTCACGGTGAAATAAAGGAGGCAAACGGAATAGTTTGACCGAACGAGGCAAGAGCCAGTCCATCCTCTTCTCTTTTGATTTTCAAGACCCCCTTTGCGCTCGGTTGGTGTTTTTTTTTTTAAGAAGGGCGTGTGGTTTTCCGGAGAGGGAGCTGGTGCATGTTGAATACTGTGCGTTAGATTTAAACGGTTCGGATCGTCGCGAGGAAGGATGGGTTGTACGTTAAGCACGGAGGATAAGGCGGCGGTGGAGAGGAGTAAAATGATCGACAGAAACCTGAGAGATGACGGAGAGAAAGCGGCCAGAGAGGTCAAACTCCTGCTGCTCGGTAAGAAACAATTAAACATACATGAGAGGCCTAAACTGTCCCGTTTCTTTGTTATAACTGCTTTATAGACAGCCACTAAAACAATATTACGCTGTAGTTACGAGTAAAACTATACGGAAAGTTTGAGTGTGCTGTTTAGTGGTCTTTTGTGGGCTATCTTTATATTGCTTTATGTTTTATAACTTTCGAGATGATCAACATTTCACTGTTTTCAGAATCATTATACATTATTATTAACAAAACATTTTGGATAGAAGGAAATATTGATCGTTCCCATTCCCATAAATGGCCTCAAGTGACCGAGCTGTCAAAAGAAAACTGTCGCAATGCACTCAAAACACACACACACACACACACACACACACACACAGTCACACTGTGGTGCAATGGAATCTATAAGAACATCTTAAGGTAGGCGGAAATGCATCTTTTGAACAGTCTATTGGTAATGAGATGTTGGCAACTTGGGCTGATGATGCTTTTAAATGTAGGAGGGGTCTGAGAATGGCGACCTGTTGCTTCATTGCCTTCTCATTGTGAAATGATGTTACATTTGATCATGATGTCTCACTCATCTCTGAACAGCACATAAACATGAGATAGATTAAATAGATAAACATTTGAGAACAACAGCAGGTTCATGACAGATGGAAGGTAAGGCTTGTGTTGAGGTGTAGCCTACATGCATTTATGGGTGATCTCAGGACTGCTGTAGCAAAACAAGCCACCTTCATAAATAACCATTCAGATCTAGCCTATGATTCAACAATAAGGACTTCACTGGGCCATGAGACTTTCAAGCCAGTTGACCAGAAGGCCAGAGCTTTATTCTACATTTTTATTACATATGAAATAAATAAAATGATCTAACACATCCTTTTGATGGGAAACAAAAACAAAAAAAAACAACTGGAGGGGACATGTTTGGTTCATTTAGTTTTGTCATGGTCATGACATATTAACTTGTGATGATATCCACAAGATTATTTTGTTGTGGTGGGAAGAACATCCTTTTTTCGTGGCCATGAGTTTAATGCATAATCACACTTGCATGACCATAGCAACCTCGGATTATCAGAAATTTCTGAAGTTAGTCATTTCTGTGGTGTTATTGAAGTTAGTTATTATCAATAAATGTTAAAAGAATATTTAAGAACATACAATAAGCCTAGAAGAAATTTGTATCTTACCCATACAGCCTTTTGAATACGTTTACTGAACCATGACTACGTTCAAATCTGAAACATTTGTATAAAATATAGAAAATTACTGTTATTTATGTATGTATCTTTCTTTCTATGCATGTATGTTTTTGTTTTGCTGGCAACTGTGGCCAGTAAAAATTTTGGCAGGGCGAATAGAAATCTGAACTATTGGCCAAACGAGGCACACAGAAAAAAACATGTTTGCTATTTACGAACATTTCTAACCCATATCTAATACTGTACTGTACAATGATCTAATTGTAGTACTGGAACTATCCAACCTTATAACACAACTCTAATTATTCATAAGCCATTAACTGTTATGAAAAGCAATTATCATTTTTCGGCTTTAAAACATTAGTCCATTAGTCCATAATGATAGTGATGAAATAGCAGTATTGTTTATGACAGTCAGGCCAGCATAATAGAAACGATATAATGAAAATAAAAACGTATCTCTTACTGTGTGATTATAGTTTTCCATTTCTCAGAACTAGTTACCAAAAAAGGCTATATGATACTGATACCAGACAACAGATACAACATTTGTGTCTTAACTGTTATCTGTAATTCTATGTTCAAGCCGGTACTGTCTGCAGTCATTTTGACCTCAGTACCCACTGCTTCCACCGATATGTTGGCTAGATGCTATCTCAAATACGTCTCCAGGCAACGTCGCACACAGACACAAATTCAGTGTGTTCAAATGACCCATACAGTGGCACCAATAGAGTCTGCTGAAAGAAAGGAACCAACACACACACACACACATGCACACTCACACTCTGAGTATATGGAAGTCCTCTTTGGTTTGCAGATATGACCAGCACATGGAGGGTTTGGTGAGGTCATGTGTTTGTCTAAAACAGAACCGTATCAGACACTGGGTTGTAGTCGACCCCGTGAATATCACGCTGGGGTGCGTTGACACCTGACGTGGTTTAGCAGCTAGAACACACACGTGCCGATGCAATCACTCAAATGTTTGCCTGTAATATGCTGTGATATTTCGATTAAACAATAAAATCCAACAATATTTTTTAAATCTAATCCATTAGACAAAAGAAAGCTGTTTTTGATTTGTCACAGACAGAAATGAGGTTTGTTTTTGTCCAGTAATCTTGTAGATTTATATTAAAGTAATTCATCATACAGAACACATTTGCACAGATATTTGTGGTGGAGCAAATGTGATTTTCTTTCAGTGTTGACACAAATATAACAAGTTTGTCAACGGCGAACATGATGTAATACCTGTTTTTGTTTGGTCAGTGGTTGCATTATTTGATCAAATATTTTTAATATTCCTTATCCCAAAATAATAATAATTAATGAGGTTTTCGATATTTTTATATTATTTACTTATTTGATAAGTGCCCATGTAATAAGCAGGATAATGTATTTTCATCTGGTTATCACAAAATAAGATTAATGTTGCCAGATGAAATGGACGCAAAGTTGTTTAAATCAAATCAACAATTTGTTCGCTCAATATTTTCTCAATTTTAAATTATTATAATAATTGACAACATTAAAAAAGGTTAATCCATTGACAAGGCTTGTCTGGATCTCCCAACAAAATTAATGTTAAATAGCCAAGTGAGTACTGGTTTTGGTTGATCATTTTGGCTAAAATGGTCCAGTGTTGAGGACTTAGATTTTCTATCCCTAATAGAATACTATTATTATTATTATTATTATTATTTTTAACAGCTGGTGCTTTGGGTTGATTTCCATTAGATGTTGCTTTAGCAGCTTTTGCCAGGAAATTGCTAGTGTTTTTGCACCATAGAGGTCGGGGTGTGGTGTACTACGGATCATAACCTTCGGCTTGTTTGATAACCCAACCGATTGCTGGACAGCTGGTCTCAGCGGAGGTGTGTGTGTGTCGTGTTTGGAACAACAGGGATGAAATGAACTGACTGGGCCTAATGTAGCAGCACTAATGTCTGTAAACCATGTAAACCTCAGACCATCTCTCTGTTGATCACTTACACACACACTGAAGTGATGCATCACCATGCCCTTCAAATATCTCCTTTAATGAAAAACACAAGGAATTTAAAGATATTTATTGTGGAATCTTTTTTTAAACCAGTCATTTAGCAACGTTAGTGTATGGTATTGTTATCTGTTATAGAGTAGTCGTGTGTGTGTGATTGCGTGAAAGCATAGATCAGACTTTTGGCACGTCATGGTTTGAGTTTTTTAAGAGGCTTTGATGTGCATACCGTTTACATTCCAATGATGTCATCGGAGTGAAAGTTCAGAGAGCCGTTCAATAAATTAACGTCACAAAGCACTCCAACACTACAATTTATCGGTGTTTTCCACTTGTGGTTCAGCTTTAATGCTTTTAAAAGGGATAGTCAACTAACTAACTTCTTTACTAACCACCAGATATTGTAGGCCTAAGAAAATAAGCACATTCATTTCTGCAAGTAATGTACTGTTTAACGCATAAATAATTTATAGCTAATTTACAGGTTTAGACCTATAATATAATGTTAAACTATACTATACTATAATTATTACTCATTTTACACTCAGACATTGAAAAAAGTGACTAATTATAAAAATGTACATTTTTATCTAGTATAAAACGTTTAAAAATAATGAAAACAATTCAATTAATTGTTTATATCCATATCTGTGATACTGGCCTTGATAATACTTGGTAAAATATGCTTAATTTATTTTAATTGTATTCATTTGGGTGTTAATATTCAGTATTTATAATAACACGTTTTAAGGTGTGATTAATAGCTAGCAATTGATAAGCTCAAAAGCAGAAAACTGTGATTAACTGCATATCATTTTTAAACGATTTACATTATTTAGACTAGTCTACTTTTGTAGATAATGCAGTCTTTGTAAAATCACTTTTCAGTCAATTCCTGACCTAATTGAGTCCCGTTCAACATTTTTTTTCTTCTCATTGAATATCTAGTTTAACTCAGAAAACGGTCCCATTTTAACTTTAAGGTTAATCCAAATCCTGCAAAAGAGACAAGTTTAGAAATTAAAAAGCCAAAGTACTCCTGTGAGTGTGAGCTGTTTGATGACTCTGTGCGTTTCGTGAGACGTGGATTCAATAGAAGATGTTTTGGGAATACCAAATGAGATTGTTAGTCTTCATTAGGAGTTTACGTGCTCAAATTAGTGTGCGAGTCATGATTTTATTGGGTTCCAAAAGAACAAACTGTTCATCTTGGGTTATCTAAGAGACTCTTTGTTTCAGAGATGCACTTGTGCATGTGTCTGTGTGTGACTTTCTCTTTCTCTCTGTCTTTCCCCTTGATGGGTACATTGATACGTCCCTTTAGGCTACAGGTCTCTCTGGTGAGACATAATTAATTAAAATATTGTGTCCTTTCCACTCCCGTTCTCTTCCTTCTGAAGGAGTCTTTCCAGTTACAGGTGTCTTCTCATCTACAGTACGTCCCTGCCAGGTCAAATGTTTACATGGAGCCGTTACTGAAAATAATCTACTGTAGCTACTGTAGAGTAAAGTGTGCCTTTTCCCATTTTAAAATATTGTTTTCCTAGTTTAATGAGTAGAGACAAATAGAAGTAAGCTATTTTTTGGTTGATTTTTAACACTGTGGCTCTGTGGTGCTTTCAGAACAGTGCTCGGTTTGTTTAAGCAGTCAACTGACTCAACCAATGCTTTTTTTAAAATATTATTATTATACATATTATACATTTCCCGTGTGATGTTACATGTTACCCAATATCATAAGCTGTTTTTGGAGCTTGATTTATTATTTGATAGGAGCTTTGTTTATTATGAGGAGGTTTTAAGTTAAGTTAAGAACTTGCTGGATGTTTTAATGGTACAAAGATCTTTAGTATAAGGTAAATTTGATTTTTCATGCCATGACCCCTTTAAAGATACATATACATACAGAAAAAATAAAGATAAATCACTGACCCAATAGGGCAAGTTGATGACAGTTCCATCAACTGACCCAAAATGTGAAAAGAAATGACATGGAAATTACAGTTCATCTTGTGAAAATTCAGACTTCTCACCGGCAAAAACAACACGTGAAAATTTATCTGCATGTGAGGATCATTACAAGGGCTTGAAGTGTGTAATATAATACAGAGTGTGTGTTTGCTGTAATCTAATAAGACGGGGCAGTGCAACAAAGCATTGCGTTCGAGTTGTCACATGGTGTCAGTGTGTTGAGACATGCTGGAGTTGTGTTTCACAGATAGGGCTGTGATGCAAGTCTGTTATCGATTGCAATCTGTACAAAAATGGACAGAGGTATCCTCGAAGGGGCCAGAAAAAAAGTGTTCATTGAGTCAAATCTCAAGGAACCCTTGTAGATGGAAATTGGAGATTGCGAAGGCCGGCTGCTATCAATAATTAAGATCATTATGCTATTCATAATTAGTGTAATAATCCAAATGAAAAAGCCTTGTGATCTTTCTCAACGCTAGGTGGCTTACATAACCACATAGGAACTGAAAACATCAGACTTAAATGATGCCTGAGGTGAAATGTGATCATATTTTTCTTAATACTGAAAGATTGGAAACAAACAGAAGACATGTTTTGCAGGTTTTAGATTGCTGTTGTTGTTCTTCTAAATGAAATGATGAAAATCCAGCTTTCATCATAAGCTGTCAGCATATATTTTATTTGTAATTAATAAAGAGCCCGACAGATAAAGGATTTTTAAGGCCGATACCGATAAAAAATATTGGTTGGTTTTAAAATCCGATATTCCGATATATCGGCCGATATTATTATTATTTTTTTATTTTTTTATTTCAGAAACGCACAACAACATATCAACAGATTTCCCTAACATAGTTATTTGTAGTTATTTAACTAAAATAATATGATAAAGCATTTTAAAAAGAAACTTGTTTCTTTTATTGTCACAACAGAACAGAGGAACATCAAAATATATTAAAGTTCTGATAAATAAAATAATAATTAGTTCCTACATTGCCTTATAAGCTACGTTACAATTACAATATCAGCTTGCTTATCCCTTTACCTTTTTAAATTCTTTCCATCAAACATCAAACCATTTTCAATCATCAGTTGCTGCCTGCCTTCTAAAACCTACTATTTAGCGATTCTAATCCAAATCCATGGCATTGTGATACATTTTGTCATTTAGTCATAATCATTTTAGAATGATTGGGGTGATTTTGTAAGGGAGTGAATATGCATACAGTAAATAAACAGTGCTTCATGTTTTTCAGGTAGAACAGTATCCAGGTACAGAAATTGAATAATTCAATGTAAAATAACAGTATTCTCTGTATAAATTAAATCATATTAATCTTTGTTACAGCTACAAAAGTGATTTTCTTTTTGTATTTTGTTGTTTGATTAACATTGATGACAGACGGGAGCAGGAAAAAGGCATATTTTTGACTTAATTTTACATGTATTTGTTCGTTGATTTACCCATGTATAGATTATTTATGACATGCAACATTATTTTTTTAAATGGTAGCTGACTAGCTGGGGCTAAATATACTTTTGGGTAAGCATCTGATACGTTAGAACTAAATACAATTTAATTTCTGGTTACAAATAGTTTACAAGGCAGTTTAGTGAGATTAATATTCAGTTATTAAGATATATGCATTCTTAAATTGGTTCTAACAGAACAAAAACACATTGTGGACACTTTTATACAAAATATGTTATGTTGTTTCTTTCATTTTTGGGTAAAATATAACAAACATTTCTTTGTAAGATCCACTGAAGGAGGAAACTATTTCATCCAAGGCAATTCCAACATTTGTTGACATTTGTTTATCTCACCCCAGCTGTCGTATCTGCAGGTTTACTCACATTGTCACAACATATTTTTCCTAATTTGTAAGTTTAGAAGGTGTGTCATGGCAGGTGTTGTTGTGAGAAACCACTTGGCTCATTCAACCCAAAAAAGTAGAGATGATATGTGAGCCAGGCTGAATAATCGGTTGATATTTGCTTATTTTGACATTCATTTTGGTACGTTAGTCATTTTTTAGTATTCGGCTAAATTACGAACCAAGTGAATCCTTTTATAATTTTTTCCTCCCATTATGAGGAAGCATTAGAAAGCACTGCTAAAATAACTGAAGCAATGTTATGTCAGAAAATGCAGTTCAGTTCATATTTACATCCAGATGGACATAGGCCACCAGAAACAATCAAGGAAAGGAGTTTTATCTGCACATGCTTTATGCGCACAATCATCAGGAAGCCAAGAGCAAGTTACTATGACAAATGGGGATTATCATGCTTTACTGGAAACGCATGCATATGAGCGATACGCTGCGGAGCTGCTTTTCACTGGCATGCGCCCATTAGGTATCGGAGCCCTGTTTGGCAGCATGTCCTCAGAAACGGGGCCGGTTGCTATGGCAGTGTGACAAGAGTGGGCTCGAGCATGCGCGTGTGCGAATGCATGTGTGTGCACGATCGCATGTGTCTAATGGACAAAAGCAAGATGAGTGTAATTGTGCCACAGCTCCTCCACAGTTCATTGTCACGAACAGAAACTGTCTCGCACCTTGTTCCTCTAGTGGCACATTTTCTTTGTTTATCCGTAGCTTTAGAAAGATTTCTCCCAGGTTGCACTAGCCCTGGAGGGCTGTTTCCAGCACTGCTCATAACACAGGTTCTTGTTATAAAAACATACACCTCTATTTTCTGATTCACTGGTTTAATATTACGCCACAGCCTGTCGGAATTCTTCTGTTACACGCGTAATGATGTTTTAGTACGGAAATTAAAATTTGGTTTTGTTTTTCATGGGGAGGAGCTGATTTTACACACTGATAACACTGCAAAACACAAACAGATCTATTACATGACCCTCATATTTCCTACATTTTAATTTATTCAAAAATACTGTATGTTACAATTGCAATTCATACATTCAACGAATTAAATACACTATGGTCAGTGTTGTTATAGTTAGCTAAAACTATTAAAAATATATATTTTTGGTAATTGAAATAAAACTGAACTAAACTAAAATATTAGATGAAAAACTTAAACGGAAATTAGAAATGTTTTGGCTGAACTAAAATAAATTTTTTAAGTACTAAAATGACTAAAGCTAAAACAAAAAGGATATTATATATAGTGTATCAACAATACTTAAATTACACCTCTCATGTTTTTAATTTCTGAATTCAAATTCATTTTTATATTTTTAACTAGCAGACACAACTGTCTGGATATCATCATGATGAAAAAATCAGATTAAGTGAAATTCTTCATTTGGCATAAAGTTATTATTTCATAGAAAAATTCAGGAAGGCAAAGAAAAACATAATATGTAAATTAATTGAATATACCAAAGTTTGGGTACCGTGTTGTATAGATCAATTACAATCAACAAAATGCTGGTCTATTATTTGATTGTATTTATGTTGAAATGGCCGAAGCATTATTGCACACTGTTAAACCCTTAAGTTGATTGGTCACCATCCACTTACTCTTGGTTTCCAATGTAACCCATAATAAGCTTATCAGATGTTGGTCTTTGATCAGCCACTAAGCCTTTGGCATTTTAAGTGCATATATGTGTTTATATTAAAGGAATGTTCACAATGTCCAATTCAAGTTAAGCTCTACTGAAAGCACCCTGACCATTTAAACTTGGTAACGTTTGCAAGATACGAGCAAAGATATCGAAAAGGGATGTGGCTTTAAGTCGATTTCGACAGCAGAAATATCACAAGTTTGTATTACTGAACCTCTTTCCCCTGTCTGCCATTGTTTAGAAAACCTGATAGTCTTTTAAGTCCATGGGGTTTTTCTGTTAAGCAGATCAAGACAACACACACACAGCAGTGAAGTTTTCTGTCTCAGTGCTAGGGAACGATATCCCAGTAGATAAGCTAGCTAAATTGGATTCTATAAGTGGAGCCGTTATTGAACCAATCGATGCAGCAGTAGGAGCTGACAAAGTTTACCAGCTGTGCACATTTGTGAACACACACGGGATAGGAACAGTTAGGTGTGGTCTGATGGTTTTATCTACAAAGCATTTTATTTACTCACCATCATGTCATGTCACATCCTACCTAACCCATAGCCTATAACCTTGAGAATTGCTCCTGTCTTACTCGATAAACATTCTTCAAAACTACTTCATGGAAGATTGAAAGCCATTAGTGGATGCCTGGAATGACACGAGGGAGTAAATGACATAATTATCTCCCAAGAAGTTAATAAAATATTCATACTGCATGCAATAATGAAAAAATTAAAGTGTTAGAACAGCTATGTACAATAATGTTCAGTCTCAGATCTTGTATTTCCGGGACTAAAGAGACAGCCGCTGCGTACATCGCTCTACAGGGTTTTAAAAATTCACACAGGGGCTCCGAAACAAAGCACTAAACTGAAATTGTCGGGCTTGTTGAATTTGAATTTTGTCTTGAGGGGCTCATCCGAGTGAATACATTAAGCTAACCCAGTCATTGTTCTTGAAATTCATTAAGTCTTGAGCTAGTTGTGTTGTTTGTAGACAAATGAGTAACTCATGTACACAACTGCTCTTTTACAGGTGCTGGGGAGTCTGGGAAGAGTACAATAGTCAAACAAATGAAGTAAGTGTTTTGTTTTCATTTCCTAATCTAATTACACTTCCGTTTTCGGCTGAATATCATTTATTGGTTACTCTTATCTCCCTGTATAGAATCATCCATGAGGCAGGCTACTCGGAGGAGGAGTGCAAACAGTACAAAGCTGTTGTCTACAGCAACACTATTCAGTCTATCATCGCCATCATTCGTGCCATGGGGCGACTCAAGATCGATTTCGGAGACGCAGCACGAGCGGTGAGTCACAGGATTGGTGGCCTGGTGCGGTTCATTTCTCCCACAGCCAACTTGTGTAGATTCACAGACATTGTATAAATGAAGAGATGGACCACTTGTAAAAAAACAAAACAATAATAATAAAAAAAAAAACAAATGGAATGAAAGAAATCATAACGGTTAATACGGCAGCTGTTGGAATGGAATTAACATATACAGTGATTGAAATACCCCTCCTCCACCCTGTGAAAATAGGGCCCAATGAAGGAATTTTTCATATTGATTTTTTACAGGAGTTTTAGCCGTTCTCCATTGTATTTTGTTTTAGGGTTAAATGAAACTTTAACAGATAGTGTTCTGGCAGAATATTTTTTTCTTGGTGTATGATGGCCATAATTGCTGTATTAAAATTATATGCATAAAGTGAAATGTCAAAGTCGAATGGAAGAAAAATGACCCTTTTAATGACCAGGAGAGTTCAGGTTGTTAAATGTCATATGGTACAACCTCCCCCAAAAAACTAAATGATATTTCTTAATGAATAAAAAAAATCATAAATGTATGATTTTACATGCTGTTAAAGTATTGTTCATTATAAGCTCATATTATCTAAAGTGTTTAACTAATGTTAACTAATAAAGCCTTATTATAAAGCGTTAGGCCTTTTTTAATCGATAATTTGTCTTTTTTGATAAAGGGCTTTTTTCACATCAGTAGAACAAACCTATTATCATACCAAAATCAAGATGTTAGCTTGTATAACACAAAAACTCGTAAAGGTTAAAAAAACAAAAACAGGTTGCGGTATTAAGTCAATTGTGATTAGATGATTGTTAGGATAATGACAGTGCTACTGCTAATTTAAATCTGCTGTCCTCTCTCTGTGTCTCAGGATGACGCGCGGCAGTTGTTTGTGTTGGCGGGGAGTGCTGAGGAGGGTTTCATGACAGCAGAGCTGGCTGGAGTGATAAAGCGTTTGTGGAAGGATGGAGGAGTGCAGGCCTGTTTCAGTCGATCCAGAGAATACCAGCTCAACGATTCAGCAGCATAGTGGGTCTACATCTCTGTTTTCCTCTACCCATGCGTCTTTCTCTACATGTCCTCTGCTTCACCTTACACCACATCCTAAACAATGAAGCGCTAAAGCGCTAGGCGATGAATCACCACACAGGAAAAAGAAAATCTCTTTAATATCTCAATTGTTTCTCCTACACAACAATTTTTGGTATCAAACTGTGCTCAGATATACATCCTTAACTTTAAATTGATCAATAGTTTCAAATGTTTCATGAAATTTCACAATGCTTCATGGGACTGTAGTTTTCCCCTTATTGAAAATGTTATTTAGTCAGATTTTCAAAAACGTCTATTTTAAAGTTAGTAATGCTGTGATTCACCTCGTAGCTGGATGATTAAAACTCTATATAACGAAGACTTTTTAATATCCCTATGGGAAAATACTTCCGGAAACAAAGGTGCTGTTTTTGACCGCACACATTGATTTCTCATTGTCCCAAGTTGTAAAATAAACATAAAATATGTATCATTTCACGATTATACATTTTTATCGACTGTGATTTTATCATCTCACACAGCATTTTGCTCTCAGCAGGGGACGAGGATGAATCACCTCATAACTCTGTGTTTTTGTCCTCCACAGCCATTCTTTATTTATCTTTCTCTATCTCTCTACCTCACATACCATCCTCCCTTCCTATCTCTCTCAACCTGTTCACCTTTTTGGGTGCTCAACCGTTCATCCCCCTTCTGTTTTCTCGTTCCCCCTCCCCTTGTGTTTTTTTTGTTCACTGAACATCAGCCTCTGCCAAAATGGCAAGTTCAAACAACTTTATCCCGTACTCTGACATCTCCTGTCTTGCCGTATCCAGACTAACTGTTTGAGCCTTGAACGAGGTTGTCAATATTTGCCCTGCTTACCGTGCCACTGGAACATCCCGTTACCCTTGACTCAGAAAACCCAGAGACTAGCTACACGCGTACAACGTTGATTTTCATATGAGAAAAATACACAGATGAAAGTGTGTCACATGCTGCTACTGTTAAGGCATGCAAATATGTGTGGGTGCGTGTTAAGGTTTCATGCTCCACAAAACGGCTGCTAAAAATAAAGTAGTTAAATATAGGAATTACAGATAACAATTATTTAGCGTACTCAGAAATTCCAATTTCTCTTAATCAAATAGTAATCACTAACAAATAGTCGTCACTCCTGTTTTCCTATAACTGTCTTATCTAAATAGGCAGCTGCATCAGAACTGAATAAAACATTATGAGCATCTGATTAAATGCTGCACAAAACCTATTTTTAATTATTGCTTTTTGCTTTGCTTTGCTTATTGCTATTTCTTTTTTCATCCGCCCATTTTCCAAACCGCTTGGCCAATGGTGGGTTGCAGGGAAGCTAGAGCCTATCCCAGTGTCTCGGGCCATCGGCAAGGAGTTTGATTTGGAGTTTATTTTTATGTTTTTTAAATAATTTTAAAACAATAACTAAATAATAGTAGATTACATCAAATATGAATGAATATTTCTGATTTAGTATCACTCTTACTTGAGGACTCATAAAAAGTCAAATAATTCAAGCAAAAAACTGTTATAAAAAGAAAAAATGGATTATGACTATTTATTATTATAGTAATCACCGCTCACTTAATGAATCAAAAGCTTTTACATTAATGTTTTTGTGTGAATTATTAAAAACAATTATTGAAAAATTATTTATAATTATTAATATTTTACATTCTTTTATACATGTTACATGGAAATCTTGGTTATCAGAATACATTTGGAAAATAATTATAGGTTCATTACCAATGAAACTATGGTTTGAAACTATGGTTTTATCTGTACTTTCCAGTATTGAATGACGAGCAGAGCAGTACTTTTTTCTTTTTCTTTTCAGTTTCACCTTACTAGTGAACCACGTTTTGTTCACTGAGCTTGTTGCAATGCAATCTGGGATTGGCCTTCTCTGTAGCAAATACATTAAAAGTGTTGTATTATTTAGGCTAAATTAAATGTCTAGTAAGGTTGCATACATTTTAGAACAGTCTTTGCACCAGAAATGCTTGTGATATCTTAAAATGTCTAGGTTTGGGAACTGAGCTTCTGGGAAAATGTGTGTGTGTGTGGTACAGGTCTCATTTGTATATTTGTGAGTACATAATGTGGTTTGGCTTTTGTTTAAGCTGTTACTAAGCATTACAAAATAGCAAGCTTATGCGTAGCCTCCGTCACACCATTTTAGTCAGGGCCATGAACATCATATGAACTGGGCAGTTGGCAGACGTAATGGCTAAGCAGGGCTGTTTCCTGAAAACAAACACTGACTGTTGTGCAACTGTTTGAGCGGAGCTGCGTGTATGTTTAAAAAAATCTGTTTTAGCAAAAGGGGATTACTGCAAATCCACCCAGGTCCACCCCTGTTCCCCTGTCTCAATAGATTTACTGGAATCAACAAGAAAACTGCTCACTGCACTCATACTATTTAATTTAATTTGAACTAACCCTTCCCTCCCTATTTTATCTTCACAGCTACCTGAATGATTTGGACAGAATAGCACAGGCCACCTATATACCCACTCAACAGGATGTGCTGAGGACCAGAGTCAAAACCACAGGCATTGTGGAGACGCACTTCACTTTCAAAGACCTGCACTTTAAGTGAGCACTTTAGGTTGCTTTATTACAAAATTGCAAAGAACGTACTCTCATTCCCCAACCCCAACCTCCCATAATTTTTATTTTTATTTTTTAAATCACACGAAAAATGGTTGGGCTTAGAGAATGAATAGAAAAAAAATAAGCCTATTTTAGGACCATTAAACATTTACCCTCTTTACTAATTCTCAGTACAATAATGTTAGAAAATATCATTATTATTACTTTGAGAATATACTTTTATGTGCAGTATATACACAATATATTTACATAAGTCACAATTATTTTAATTGAGAAGTGCATTTATAAAATGTAACCTTTGCATCATGGTAGTAAATTTGTTGTACTGACTGAATTTAAGTTGATTACAATAAAAATTAAAATTATGTAATTAAATTTGCATTACAGAAATGAGAATTTGGGAGTAGATGTGCTTAATTGTCATTGAAATGATATTGCAATGCAAAAATTCTAAATGTTGTTCACAAAATTGACAGATTTCTTTCTGAAATTCACCTAAAGTCATTTATTAGCTTTATCACATGTAACATTATGATATGCATTTGCACATCCATTGATTGAATTAGGAAGGATTTCACGGTAGTTTTATTGAGTTTTGGTTTAAGTAAATTGTGATTATTGAGACAACCTACACAGTATGTGACTGAAATCATGGGCAAGAGTGATAGAAAAGAGAAGCAGAAAGCGAAAAATAGAGAAGTGTCATTCTTGAACTGGTTTGCACTCTGATACAGACAGGAAGAGGAAGTACATAGCGTCATTTTCTTTGCCCATGTTTAGCTTTAGACCTCAAAGAGTTGAAAACTAGAGTCCAACTCAATCCTTTTGCATGCTATGTGTTTTTATGCTTATTAGAGCATCACAGCATTAACCTAGCAATATACCATTTAAAGAAATTCTAAGTCGAGTTTTCGTAAGGAAAGCTATTTTTGTGTCACAGAATTTCAGTCTAAGTAGCGAGTACCAGATCAATCACTTCTGTGGTTTCATTTCAGTTAGTATGCTCCCTTAATAGAGTGTCAGCTAAATAGCTCACTCGATTAAGACTGAAATTTGTTAACCATTTTAAAATGTTATGTATTTCAGGATGTTTGATGTCGGAGGTCAAAGGTCCGAGAGAAAAAAATGGATCCACTGTTTTGAAGGCGTGACTGCCATCATCTTCTGCGTGGCACTGAGTGACTATGACCTGGTGCTGGCTGAAGACGAAGAGATGGTGCGAAAGTACTTTCAGTTATTTAGAAAAATACAAAATTACAGTGTGTGCGAGGAGTGCTGTATTTCAAATTCCACTTTTTATTCCTTTTCTTTATAATTAATTCAAACTGGAAGCGGGGAATCTACAAACTTCATTCCAACATTTTTTAGATCATTTCTCTCTTTTTTTTTTAGTAAATGTTATACTTTTAAGGAATCGATTAGTAAAACACGGTTACTATCGTTAATTAACAATAAAAGGAAACTATTAAAAACATTTGTGTTAACTGAAATAAAGCTGAAGTAAATGAAATAAGTAGAAGAACTTAAATTTCAGGTTCAATAAACTGGATTAAAACAAAAACTTAATAAAAAAGTAATTAAACATAAGGACAAATTAAGACAAAAGGACAAAAACAAATTAATTGAAATATAATGATAAAAGATAATTAAAATTAGTATTTAAAACTATAATATAAATAATAATAATAAAGTAACAGGGAATTGTGTATTATATACAATTTATTTAAATCTATTTAATAATTTATAGTTGCCTATTATTTAAACTGAACTAGAAACACAACATAACTTAAAACTTTAATTAATTTTCTGTCTGGCAAGCATTCGTATTTCCTTTTCTGTTTATAGGAGTCTTAAATCGATAGTTCACCCAAAATTAAAATTCTTTGTCATTTGCATCTTAGGATATTCTGCTACATAACTCCTTTTCCCCCTGTAAACCTGTCATAGATTTACTGGTGAACCTATTATATGCGGGTCCTTTAGTTTGAAGAGTTTTGTATCGTGTGAATGGGGGTAAAATTCTGCCTGACGAGAAAACCAATGTCTGGATTTATCATATAATCAATGACCACGTGATATTGATTCAGTTTAAATCCTACTTTATTAAGGGTTCGCAAACAGGTATTGATTGATTAAATTGTAAATGGCAGAGGGCTAAAGCACATCTCCTCAATCTGTAATCCATAAATCAAGCTTTTGAGCAGGGGCAAAAGGCAACTCGATACAAAGCTCGGAACGTAGTCATTAAGTAGATGGTGTATATCAGTGTGTAATGTAATAACGTGTTTAAAGATGCTTTCAAGCCAAGATACTCAATCAACACCCATTTTCTTGCTCTTTCTGTCCTTTTTTCTTATGTTCTGTCAACCAATTTCACTTTCTGCAGAACCGAATGCATGAGAGCATGAAGCTGTTTGACAGCATCTGCAACAACAAGTGGTTCACGGACACCTCTATCATCCTGTTCCTGAATAAGAAGGATTTGTTTGAGGAGAAGATCAAGAAGAGTCCGCTCACCATCTGCTACCCAGAATATGCAGGTCAGACCCCCATACTGGTTTACTCTCTTAAATGACTGTACTTTTTCAGGGCTGTTGATTTAACACAATTAAATGATGCAAATAAAATTATTTAACGCACCCACAGCGTTCCAGACCTACATTTCATATTACATTTCATACCGTTGATTGGTGACGAACATGAAGCAAGGCAACAACTCACTGCTTGATGGAGCCTATAGAATGCAGTTAAAATGCCCATAAAATTCAAGATATCAGGGCAAAAATGCCCCTTTATAATTCTTTTGTCTCATATTTCTATAAGCTATATCACAAGAGTGCTGTTATTGTTTCGAATAGCACAGGAGCAAATGCTATGTTTATTTTATACAACTTCAAAAAATAAAAAGTTAATAATTTTATACAACAGCCATGCGATTTTCTACCAGTATCGGCACGGAAACCGTTTGTATCACTCCATTTGCAGCATTTCTCACAGCGAGTGTCATGGCTGACAAGCAAACCCATTATACTTTTACAAATACTACAGTGGTCTATTTGATGCTTTTCTCATGTAAAACAATAATGGCTTTAATTGTGTTTTAGGGGGTACTTTCTCAGCCAAATTTAATAATTTGTTATTAATTAGATTTGAAATATTAAATTGCTTGACATTCCCATATACACAAATTATTTGAAAAGGTTAATGCCGAAATTTTCTGAAAATTTTATTTTCCTACCTCAGGCCCAAGTATAGTTATTTACAGTTACAAAACCTAAACTGAAAAAAAAAAGCACTGCATTATCAGTGCATTAAAATGTGTAAATATCAGAAAAATGGTCAAATTATGATTTGCAGGTCTGAAAACGACATAGATATAAATGAAACTCTAAAACATTACTGAAAAATTTCCTGTTTGAAAAATTATATATATATATATATAATTTTAATTTTAAATTTTAATATATAAATTTTTAAATTATAAAATTAATAAAATAAATTTTAATTTATTTTAATATAATTTTATATATATACTTACTATGCACTTACTCAAAAAGACAATTAAAAATAGAAAATAAATCTATTGATCAGTGTGTGGAAACCCTGTTCGGATGCACATACTTACGATTTGAATATAATTTGCATGGACAACTGAATGAATTCTATTATTATCACAATGACCATTCAACCATTACGTACCAAATCGAAATGCTGAGACAACAGCAAAAAATGACTAATCACAACTTGGATTAAAATCTATGTGGACCCTTACATATTACATTGTTTCCAGTTATTTGAAGTCACATCATCCTGTGACATCACTTCCTCATACTGAAAATGTTTCCTACCCATCTGACAGGGTCAAACACATACGAAGAGGCTGCAGCCTACATTCAGTGTCAGTTTGAGGATCTGAACAAGCGGAAAGATACCAAGGAGATCTACACTCACTTCACCTGCGCCACAGACACCAAGAACGTGCAATTTGTCTTTGACGCAGTGACCGACGTCATCATCAAGAACAACCTGAAGGATTGCGGACTCTTCTAAAAGCGGGCTTGTATCTGGTGAGGCTCAGCTTCCTCAATGTCACGTGTGCCAAAAGTCACAAGATGCCTGTAGTGGTTTCAATGTTTAAGGGATAGTTTGGCCAAAATTTGTATTTCTAAATTCATCATTTACTCACCTTCATGTTATTTGAAACCTATATTACTAGAGGTTGACATGAGTGTGAGTAAAGCCCGGAACACACCAAGCCGACGAATAAGTTTCCTCGGTGTGTTCTGCACGGTTCTGTGCTGTCAGCTGAAAATAGTCCTCGTCGGCTTTGTTTTGTCCCGATTCGACATGTTGAATCTGCGTCGGGCCGTCGGGGAAAGAGAGAACTCTGAATGGCTGTTCAGCTTAGTGAAAGAGTCAGTGCACGAGAATAAAAGCAAAACAGCAAGCAAAGAAGTCAACACGGTAAAGATAGAAGGCTGTTCTTATGTTATGTCTTCTTACCGGAGTGATTCTTGGTGAATATTTCAATATTAACATGAGCGGAGTGGAAATAGGAAAGAGTTTATTTGATATTCAAAACGGCAAGCATGCGCTGCTTTGTTTACGATATGTGTATCTGCAGCCGGCAGCGTCGGTTTTCCTTTTTGAATGACGAATACAGACTAATATATCTGCAGAAATAGACAGTTGGCTCATTAAATTCAGACACAGAATGCACATTCTAGCTGACAGTCGCCTGTAGTTCTCTCAGTGTGTTCAAGTGCAGCTTTTACCCCGATGAGAGCGGACAAGAGGCAACAACACAGTCGGCTTTCATCAGCGCTAGTTAGTCAGTGGTGTGTTCCGGGCTTAAGTGATATAAATCATTTCTTCAAGTTAAGAGCCGGACTACCTCTTAAGGGGCAATATCTTTTTAAACATGCACTACTGCCCAAAAGATACATTCTTTTGAAAACATTTTAGTTTTATTAAGCAAGGATGCATTAAATTGATCAAACTGATGATTAAATTGATTGTTTGGTTGATGGCTTGGCTGTAGCGTTTTTTTTTCTTTTTCAATTTCTTGAAAATCTGAATCTAAATATTTTTTGCCATTTGTTTAGTGCAGTAAGTGGCATAAAAATTCCACACTTCCCCTTTAAATTGTGATGTTAAATGTTGAAAATTAAATGAGTGTGTGAACTAGTAAAAAGTTCTGTAAATACTCATAATGCCTTGTTTGAATATGATAAGTGAATCATTTTTAAGTGATTCTTCTTTATTCTTTTCCTCTAGGTGCAATTGATGAAGCCAGTTTTGATGTGCATTTTGTTGGAGAAAGATTGCGAGACTAAGTATGGAGAAAATTAGTCTTAAACCAGTGCTGTACATTACGCCACTTTTGTCAGCTTTATTTATGGTTTTTGTCTTTGGAAATTTTAAAAAGTAGCATTTAAAAATGAATTGTGTCGAATGTTCGTACAGTCGTTGCTGTCACGGCCATGTTGTTTATTTTTTCCCCAGACACAATGGATTTCTTTTTATTTTGCGTTCTTGCATCAGAGAAGTTCCCCTTTTCTTGTACAATGTTACTTTTTTTTTGCCTTTGCGGTTGTTTCTATGGGGAGAGAGGAAGATTGTGCTACTCGATCCAGTCTGTTGGTTCTCGTGCCTTCGCATGCGTTTCTGCAGTCTTTGTCCATTTGCTTGGGTTTGCCTGCTGAATATCTCTCCAACGTCAAAAAATGTCATACTGGATTTTACTACTTTGAGAGCACAAATCCTCATATGCATTGAATGCGAGTGTGAGAGAGAGAGAGAGAAAAGAGTGTGTGTGTGTTGGCGTGTATCTGTTTGCGTGTTTATGTATATATATATAATACGCCGGTGTAGAGAAAGCTAATGGTTAATGCAATGAGCGGTGGTGGTCCAAACCTCTGGGTCTCCATGGCAACAAGAGTAGACCAAACAGCCACTTCAGATGGAGAGGAGTCCTGTTCAGCTGTCAGACGCTGAGACGCACGCAGGACTTGGAATCTGTCTCTCAAGCACCTGTCATCAGACACTGGCCGCCATTTTAATGGCTTAATGCTCGGAGAATGACGCGTTGCAGAGGAACGCCATTGAAAGACAAAGCGACTGAGAAGGCTTTCGGGATTCGGGGAAGTAGAAAAAACAATATGAAAATGTCTGCAAGAAGACATTTGAGGCAAGCGATACTGTTGATTAATTCTGAAGAAAACTGCCACCTCTTGTCTGTGTGTTCTCCATATTGGGGGAACATTTGTACACTCATTTCCCTTATTTTGCTAATAAAAGGCATTTACTTCCTGAGTTGTATGTCTTTAGGCTTTGTCCCATTACTTACTAGCATGAGAAAGACGAATTCTAAAACAACTTGGCATGTATATTTTGTGGAGAAAGCAATCCCAGAATACGTTGCAATGAACTCAGTCGAAACAAATCCAAAATAGCCGACACAATCTAAAAAAACATCTCATCCTACACCGATTTTTATTGTTAATAATAGTTTTTGGTAATTCAAAATGGATTACTTTGTCTAATAATGGTGTGTTATTCACATTTTTTTTATGCGAATTAAAATATTAGCTTAGCATTAGCAACACACGCTAACATAAAACTCCATATAAATGAATTGTGTCTCCTGAGTGGACAGAGTCTACTGTTGCAGTTCTGCAATAAAAGCGTAAATTTGGGGGTAAAAAAGTTTGTCACCTTATTAAACAACCGAAAATTGCTTGGTGAGACTTCTTTGCGAGTTGTACTTTCTTTATCTCTACATTAGTAACAATAGAACACTGACCGTTTTTTTGTCTGTTAAATTGTAACCACGCTTTTAATAGACGACTGCCAATCGGTTTTGGAGCTGAGCTAATTATGATATGGTTTGTGACATCTCTGGAATTTCTATATAATGGCCTTCATTTCCTACTTAACATACAAGTCATTTACAATCCATTTACTCTGTAAAATGTATTTCCCAGTGAAATGAGGAAAATAACGTACAATGGTGCTTTTTATCCATCAGGAAATGATTAGATCATAAAAAAGCGGGTGTTCCAGACCTCAATGAGTTTGCTAACACAATTCGCAAATAGCTATCTTTGCTATTGGTTAACATTATGACTGGCTCTGACTGCCATGAAAAAAATTTAATGAAATCAGTGTGCTAATATAAGCTTCAGACAATTATAGCCCCTGTTGCCTCAGATAAAGCTTGGGGTGGTATTTTCCTAACCTGTTTATGGTAAAAGCAGGCTAACACTTTTAGTTGCTGGACCCATAGCTGAGCAAATGGAAACACTGAAGGTTACAAGCTACTCTAGGGAATTACCCAGAAAACCTGGCATGTATATAGGTCAAAAGCCAGGGGGCCAGTAGAGGAGGATATAGAATATTGCCTACATCCATATGTGTTCATAGTATTGTGTCTGCTTGATGGCTCTGTTGCAATTTACAGTTGAAGTTTAAAGTCACCATGAAATTAAAATCGCCAATTCCTAGTTAACTGAATATTTTATTGTTTGTTATAAATTATATATCTGTGCACATCATTCTTTTTCTCAACCATTTGGTACTGTCCGCGTGTCGGTCAAAAATTACAGATATTATTATTTTTATTTTTATTATTATTACTTTAATAATGTTTTTTAGTTAATATATTAGGGGATTTTATGATACTACATTTTATTTATGCAGTAGTTATAATCCATTATTCACTTTTTAAGCATGGACATGAAAATGAAATTTCTTTGCAAAATGCTTTGAAGCACAAACTCAAGTTTGTTTTTTTTCTTTTTTTTTTAAAGACTGCACTTGGCAGATCATTGCTGAAGTGAAAAAAGTTTAAAAAGTGAACTTGAGAAAAGTTAATAAAATTTTACATTTATTGTTATGAAAAATGGACAAAAAGACCATTTTCAATTTTTATATGAAATATATATTTTCCAAAACACATTTTACTCTAAGACGGTGAAAAAAAAAAACAATCACAGCCATAAACAAGCTGAGTTTCAAATTTGAGATTGATGAGCTTTCAGTAAAAATTTCTGCACCTATTCCAAATCTTTCCTCTAGATGAAATTTATCTCTCATTCACTTCAATGTGGCCATTTTTGACCGCAAACAATACAATTTTTTTCTGGACCATTTAACCTTTTTGAATCATGTCCATGATTATTTGTGAGTGTGTGTTTTAACACAGCAAGTACCAAAACTTTTACCAAGATTTGTACTATTCTGATGAACTAAAAAAAAAATGAAAACAAATAAGACGTAAAATTATTTGGTCAAAAATGACCGAAACCGCACCAGTGGGTTAATATATGTCATAATCTTTACTCAAAAACATTAACTCTCTCCTTCCCTTCGCAACGACAACGAAAAGGCGTTTCACTCGGATATACCTCACAATAAGGAAGCAAATTCTGCTTCATGCCGATTTCTAATCTCATTTAAAGAGAAGCTGGTCTCTGTAGCAAACTGTTTGAAATGGACATATATGTAATAAACTAATGATTTGGGGGTTTTTTTCTCCAAGAAAGGGATGGGATTTTTTAAAAGATTTAAGCTCAAGCCAGAAATACAAACTACAATTCATATCTGTGCCATTAAACCAAATGTGTTATTATTGACATATCCATCTATAAACATGTAGCCAATTATTTAACACTTTTAAGAGACTCCAAACAAGTATCGGGCACTGGCTAAGCGTGAGAATATTTGCAGTGTGATATCATGATATTCTGCTCTATAGCTAGTCCAAAGTGTTAAGCTAAGCTGTTAGCTTGCTAATCAACTGCTAACTGGCTAAATACTTAATTTGACAATTTTTGCTTCACTAACATAATGTGATACGAGGTGTAGATAAAAGCATTTGTAATCATGTCAGTATTTTTGGTTTGTGTGCTCACTTGAATATTTTCAGGCCTTCGTCATCTTCAAACCCCCACCTCCACAGACGGCTAAACCGCAGCGCTGATCCAACACTCTTACTTCAACTTCAGGTCAGCGATGACGCTCTGACTGCTAAATTTATGCGAGGATTTGCTGCCTGTGGAGGAAGAACAAGACAAAAAGAGATAATGCTTTATTTTTAGGTTGATTTTTTTTTTTAAAGGAGCATGATAAATGAGTAATGATGTCATAAGGGGGTTGGGTGTGGGATGATGTAGCAGTTTGACACAGTAGCTGCATTGCCATCAAACTCTGGCACAAATGAGAGGAACAGAATCACTTGTATTTTGTAAAAGAGAACAAAGAATGCATTATTGTAGTGCTTAACCCATGTGTATGTGTGTTAGCAGCCCAGTGATAAAGTGTCTTATCAGTGTTGTTCCAGCATTGAACACAATGTCAGTGTCAGTTTAGCACAAGATGAATCCCACTTGCCTTACGTTTGTCTCACAAACCCACACAAATGCAATTTAATGACCCTGTTGGACATTCTATCTTTTACTAGTCTTAATGTTTCAGACAACCCGATTTCTTTTAAAAGAATGGAATAAGACCAAAAAAAACAGACTGCAGATTGTTAATGCTGCTCTTTCCATACAGTGTATGTGTGTATGAAGTGTATGTGTATGTGGAGAGCACCATAAAAGCCTGAAAAATCTATTCAACCTGTGAAATATATTCTATTTCTTCCAATGCCATAGGGATTTTCAGCAAATAATGTCTTGATTTATTCTGCTCCAGTCCCCATTCACTTTCATTAAAAAGAGCAGTCCGGACAGTCTTCAAAACAGCTTTTTTTTGTGCCCATACATTTTTGATGGCATGAGGGGGAGTACTGTATGTAAATGAATAAAAAGCAAAAGAATTAGTGATTTAACCACTTTTGGTGGATCCTACACTGTAACCTGGCTGAAGGTTATTTATTTGGCACATGAGTGTGTCCCATTGTTGCGTCCATTGAGCCCCCAGAGCTCTCCGTTGAGCGTGGGAGACGAGAAGCATTACATTTTCCATTAGTGACCTTCTCATGCAATTAGACATGTTGTAAAGCATTCTTTTGATTAATAGATAGCACTTCCACTGAGGTAAGATGCATAAATTGCATATCTGACAGGACAGATTAGTGCTTTGGTTTATATACCCAAATCTTTTTAATAGAAATTAGACCTTTTGTACAATCTCAAAAAAAAAAAAAACACAACATTTATGCCAGCCGTGTTTAATGCACGTGTACGATATTCCCTCTTTCTCAGTAACCAGCAGCCTTTTTTCATATTAATGCATGCCCTGTGATGTCATCAACTCTGGACTCCATAGCAACAGAGATATTCCTTTGGTCTGATGATGCCTTCAGCAGGCTGTTATTAATAGCTCCTGATGTTTTCACTGTGACATTGGACGATGCGTAAAGGCACGCATGCACGCACGTTCGGCTATTTCTTCTCGGAATACGTTTTTTTTTTTTATGCCAACCGAGGTTAATGTCACCGGAACAATGACTAATTTTCAGCATTTAAAAACAAAACAAAAAAAAAAACTTGGAAATAGCACTACCTGGAAAAGAGGGTAGATAAAATGAACATCATTGACACAGTGAAATGAGGGACAGTTATGAGCAAACAGTTAAAGTGGGTCACAAAACGATTTTGTCGCCCACTCTGCAATCGCTTTGTTTTTCTTTCTCACTCTCATGCTCGCCCTCCTTTTATGCGCTCTAGTGCTAATTTTTGTGTTACTCATACAGTCATCCCACATTTTGCTGCTTTGGGATACATTAGAGAGGCACATTGCTCATATAAATTTTAAGAAAACTCAAGAAAACTACAGACATGAATGATACTTTTTAAAAGACCAGAATATCATATCATGGGACAGTGGACAGCCACTTATTTATTTTTTTTAACTTTTTTTTTTAAGTAATAAAAATTATGGTAACACTTTACAATAAGGTTCATTAGTTAACAATAGTTAATGTATTAACTAACATGAACTAACCATGAGCAATACATTTGTAACAGTATTTGTTAATCTTCGTTGATGTTAGTTAATAAAAATAAAATTGTTCATTGTTTGTTCATGTTAGTTCACAGCACATTAACCAATGTTAACAAGATTTTAATAAAGTATTAGTAAATATTGAAATTAACGTTTACAAAGATTAATAAATGCTGTATAAGCGCTGTTCATCATTAGTTCATGCTAACTAATGTAGTTAACTAATGTTAACTAATGAACCTTATTGTAAAGTGTTACCAAAATTATATACAAGGCTTACCCACAGTATATAGTTTTGTGCTCACCAATGCTGCATTTATCTCTACACAAACAATATTTTTTTTCAGGTTTCTTTGATGAAT